AACCCTATATTTCTAAAAATTTTTAACTTCTTTCCCTTTACTCTTCTTATCTCTAGACTAAACAATTTTTCAATTTTTTTCTTGTAGGTGATATTTTCTAGACATCTGATCATTCCTTTTACTCTCCTCTGGACTCCTAATTCTATCTGCATTTCTTTCTCAAGTACCCTCCTCCCAGATGAGGTCCAAGTTAAGGACCTACCTGTGCTGAGCAGGACTAAAAGATAGCTCATGTATCACAGAAAAAACACTCCCATTTTTACACACCATATTTACAACAGTGCAATGCTACTGAGTCATGTTTAGTTTGTGATCCACCAGATTTCCACATCCTTTTCTCGTTAGCTCTTCCCCATGCTATATTTGAGGATGTGATTTATTGCTGACTGAAGATAAAACTTTGCACAAAACCTTACAGACTCACATCCCTCCTGGTTTTTTGGAGGTTGTGACTGTCAAAAATCACTGAATTTGACTTATCTTCCAGAGTGCCTGAAACCTGTTTCAGATTGGTGACCTCTGCAGGTTAAATGCTCACATGCTCTGGCCCCTCATTCAGGATGTTCATAAAATAAGGAACAGCTCTGACAGATCCCTGTGGAGTCTCAACCTGAATGATAGTCTTCTCAATATATCCCTTAAAAATCTCTAGTGCCTGTATCCTTTGCCCACAAGAAAACCTCAGCAATCTTTGCTTTTCTATAAATGGCTTGAAACAAGAAGAAAGGACAATGTTTGTGGAAGGATTCCTCATCTGAGGACAAGGAGAGGGAGACTCAATCTGGCAAGTGTATCAGGAGTTCTCAGACATCAGAAAAACACATTTTGGAGAAGCAAATCCCTGTGAAAGACAAGGAGTCCAAGAAGAGCTGCTTTCTAAACAATGCTGCCCTGAGTGAGAGGTGAGAGCATAATATTTGGAGTTTCAGCAAAGGAAAAATTTCAAGAGCCTACTTAGCATCGTGACTCCCAGGAATCTGTATACTACCAAACGTAGCAAACAGTGCCCAGGAAAGCGAGACAGTGACCCCAAAACTGCCAAATATTCAACTTCACTCCATCCCAGCTCCAGTGTTACAGTATAGGGAGAAATCCAGTAACAGTGGTTTTCTACAATCCCAACAAATGACACAATTTTATTTTATGCTAGCACATGTTTTCAGCAAGCAAAACCTACTGAAATGGCCACGACTTAGCATCAATGCTAATAAAGTTTAAGAGTAAGGAATAAATATTTAATGTATTCAGGGCATGCACAGATATTGTTGTTGAATACAAAGCAATACATCTGGTGCACTGGGCAGCACTGCAGCCACAAGACAGGTCAAATGCATGATTACAAACACCATGTTTTGCAGCCCTAGCTTAATAAATTGCATCATGCAAATTATTTATGCATTGCCTGCAGATGCAACCTTAATTCAAAACCGCAGATAGTACGGTCCAGCCGTCATGTGACAAGTATCCAGGTACAGACAAAATGTTTTGTTCCTAGATGCTCATTTTAAAGATCTTCCACTGACATAGGCTGCTAAGCACTACCGTCTTGAACAATTTTATACCATCATCCTGCACTTGCCCTGCCACTGCATACCAGAAGGCACCTATCAGAGGGGAAAGATAAGATTCAGAAAAAGGTTTTAAAAAGGGCAGACTGGGTTTGTCATGACTGTAGATGCCCACCTGCATACCTGAGGGTTGCACTTGAGTGAACAGGTCCTACCTGGTGTACGCTGAAATGGTAGTATCACACATTGGCACTAGGGACCTTGGGAGTTCATAAGTATTTGGGGTGCATTTAGTTGGCGTTGTTAAGTTGGCATCATTTTCTCCACCCTTGCAAAGTACCTTGAAATTTTCTTTCTTTGTGCAGACCCAGAAGTCTGCATTACGGTCACCTTCCTCTTAAAAAGAAAAGTAACCACTTGGTACACTTTAGGCTGCGTATTTGCTCACATGTCCACGTTCTTTGCCTTGACCTCAAAATGTTTGTAGAAACCCTGGTCTGTGGTTTTCTAGAAGAAATTTGCATAGAGGGCCAACAACAAAACAGCTTCTCTCAAAAGCAGCATCTCCTGCTTCTGCTAGCCAAGTATGGCTGGATTTATTTGTATGTATATTAGCATATACCTCTGACATATAATCTGACATGTTAGTCACCTTCTTGTATCAGCTGATAGCTGACAGGAAATTAATTTCTGGGGCAAAGACTTTTTTTTTCTTTTCACACATTGTTGCAGTGGTGGCCCATTTGGAGCACTGGCAAGTGCCGGGCTGCTGCAGAGACATCCCGTCCTGCTGGACATGGCCATGTGGGGACAGTGTCCAGCACCAGTGAGCTGTCACGAACACGGCAGTTGGGCAGTAATTGTGTGGGAACATTCAGGCTGGCAAACATCCCATGTCCTACCTCTCGGTCAAACCCACGATGCCTTTGCTCTGCCTGCACCAAGGAAGCAGGCAGGCGTTTCCTGCTGTCCAGGTAACCCCATTCAAGTGGGAGCAACCAGAGTTGAGCAAAATCGCTCTTGTGCCACTCAGGCAGATTGGGTTAGCAGCTGATGAATTGTGGTGATCTGAGCTATAGCTTATTCCTCGTGGGTAAGCCAACTTAAATTGAAAACATCACCACTCTTCAGCAATGAGTTTGTGTGTGTGGACATGAGTCAAATTAGGAGCAATGTCTGAGTTAGGGCTACAGTTACTCCATGGTGAAGACAAGTCCATGTTATCCAAATTCACCCCCTTCCCGGGACTTAACTTCAATGGTTATTCAAACATTACTGTTAAAAAAAAAGCCCTGGCTGACACTTCCTACCCAAACTTGGCAATTCCTTAAATTTTCCTCCAAAATCTCCTTTGTCCTAGCTGTCTCTGGGCACAAAGAGACACTCCCACATCCTTTACATTCCAGTTGGGGCTAATTGAACTCACATGTCAGCATGAGTCAGCAGTAATTACCAGGAATATTAAGGAAAGATTTGGCACCAGACCTTGATAATTCAACAGTAGAGCCCCAGTGTTTAGTGGGGTCTTATATTGCATCAACCCATTAAATATGTGACAGCAAAAGCTATATATGAAGTTTCTCAATCTAGTGCAACTATGTACGGGCAGTTCGTGGTAACGAAAGCATCTTTACTGTATTTTTTGATATACCTACAGAAAGGAAAACCTAATGGAAAAATCATTTCTGACTACTAAATCCTCCTTGCTAGAGTTTAAATCCGTTTATACATTAAAACCGATGAATCAATATTAGACTGGCTGGCTGGTTTTTGTAAGCACTCGCACTGCAAACAGGGCCTAGCAATGCATTTCCTCCTTACCATTCCTGGGCAGAAATATGAATTGATGGGAAGTTGAGGTAATAACATAACTCCCCCTTCCATGGCTCAGTTGGAATTAAAATCCTGAAGCCACAACAAACTGACGTTTCCACATATGAGAGCTCATTCCCTACCATGCTTCCCCAAACAGTTCCCCTCTGTACACTCTCACTCTGTGGACTGCAGAACCCTGCGCTTCCAGAGCTGAAGACTCGAGGTGTGTTTATACACTAGCTCAACAAAGCCCCTAAAATCCCAGTCCTCTCCTTGAGATCAAAGAATACCCAGATGCACTTTTATGGTCAATTACGATAAAAAAACCCAGGTTGTCCCGAACATATAGTGGTGCAGAGACGCTGTGGATGCAGCGGTGAAAAGCGAGGACTGTCTCAGCCTGGGCTCTCAAAGGGGATGCCAGCAGGAGCAAAGGCATTAAAGTCACTACCAAAAGCTTAACTGGTAACTCTTTCTGGATTTTAAGATCTACAATATTTTAGGTACTTTGTTTTTCAAGGAAATAAATTCTTGCTCTTGGTTGCAAATTAACCGAGTGTCTTGCCAGTGAATTTGATCTTGTCAGTCATTAAGTCTCTCACTTAAATGAAATGATTTAGTCTTAGCTCTGATTAATAACACTCTCTGGTTCATATAAGAGAACTGTTTTATTTTTTATCTGCTGCAAACATGTATGCATCAACATTCTTTTCTACAGATTACTTCTGAGCCCAACCGGATCATTCAGTTCTATTTAAATCCAGTCCCGGTTGCCGTTTTGAGATCTTCAACTGCCAAACATCAAGCATATTCTAGGGTTTTTCTAGTGGGTTTTGTTTCTTTTTGTTGTTGTTGTTCTGGTTTAATAATCCATCTCCTTGAAGCTCACTAAATGACGCACAAGCACTATTTGTGCCCTTCTTCAGAAAAAAAAAGTTTTTTACGTGATATAACTTACGCTACTTGCACTATTCTTTAAGAAATACATAAAACTACAGCTTCACCCGAAGACATACAGAATTCTTGTTTACTAAACAAAGTAATGCAAAGTCAGATAAAGCACCGGAGCCTGTGCACACGCTTCGCCTTTCTCTCACTGTTTTTTCGCCCTTTGGTATGTCAAACTGAAACACAACAAGGATTTGTAGCCTCTGAAGTTATAAAACACTGAAAATCATTTTCAGGGCAAGTACCGACTGACCCCAAAGCAAACCCAACCCGTTCGGTGCCAAGCGAGTGCACTTGAGGCTCAAAAGAGGAGATGTGAAACTTTATTTCACTTGTTTTCCCCTCATAAGGTCTCTCGAGGCGTCGGTGGAAAGGATGTGGCCAAGGTGCCACGGCAGAGCCCTTCGCCGTCTCTGCCTCAGCCCTCGGGACAGTGAGGCACCCCTCGGGCATCACTCACCCTAGGGTCGGTGGGCACCGGCGTCTCCCGGGGCTCTCGCCTGCGAGCTGCGGACTATCACCGGCGCCCGGGTGGAAGAAACAGGGCTCGTCCTGCGCGGCTGCTGTCCCACTGCCACCGACACGGCCGGCGGGACTACCGACACCCATGGGACCAGCGTGCTGCTGTAGGGGCGAGGTGGCCGGAGCCGACGGTCCCCAGGTTCCCCCACACAGCCCGGGCTGAAGCCTCGGCTGCCCGCCGCGAGCTTTCGGGATGCAGCGACTTACCCCACGGTCCCCTCCACGACCCGGGGGCGCAAAGTTTCTGAGGGCGAGGAGGAGAAGCCCCCGGCCGCGGCGCAGGGCGGAGGTGCGGGAGCGGGCGGCGGGATCGGGGGCCGGAGGGCGCCGGGGGTGGGGAGGATGCTCGGGCGCCGCTTCCCTCGTGATCCAGGTGGCGGGCGGGCGGCCGAGGGACAGGGCGAGCCGCCGGCTGCCCGCTCGCACGCGATCCCGGCCCGCCGCCTCCCCCCGCCGGCGGCAGAGGGCGCTGCGGCGGCGGCACCGGAGGCACCGGGGCCGGGGGCGGGCGGCGGGCACGGCAGTACCGGGATGGGCAGGACGGGACCGCGGCGGTCAGAGCCCGTCCGCCACCGCCGGTGCTGCCCGCCGCTCCGCCTAAGGGATGGCGGGGGCCGAGCCGGGACTCCGCTCCCCGCGGTGCGGTGCACCTGCCTGCGCCGCCGCCGAGCGCGGCTGTCCCGAAAAGTTGCAAGGGAGAAGTGTCTTGCGGGTCCTTCTCCGCCTCCGGGATGTCTGGAGCAGCCTCAATCACCTCAGCGTTGGTTTCTCCAGAGGGGGCTTCCCTCTGCCCCACGGCTTCCCCTCCTCCCTGCCCGGGGTCGCTGCTCTCGTCGCCTTGTGCGGTAGCAGCTCAGCTCCTCTGGCATCACCGGTGCCTTCCGTGCAGCGCCGCATTTACTGGCTTCGCCTGGAAGCCTACTAGTAGCTGGGGTAGTTCTTATAATTAGTAGGGTTTTGGGTTTTTTTCACAGAACCTTTTGCCGACGGAATTCTGGCTTGTACTGGAAGCTTCACGAGATCCCAGTCAAGCAGCAAGGCCTTTTGCGAGTGGTGTTAGATGCTGGAATTTGGTAAGTACCTGAAGTGGCATTTGCAGGGAAGGCTTAAGGAGAGGACAGACAAGACCAGAGCAAGCTGGTGCAGAAAAAACAAGGTCACAAAATGAAAAGCTGTCCTCTCCTTGCAGGGTACCAGTCCTCAGCAAGGAGATCCAAACTTTCAACTCCCAGCAGACTTGTGGGACTGGTAGCTGTGGGGAAAAACTTTCTGTTTCTCAGACCTGGACTGCTGAGATATCCCCTCAGATGCAGATGTACAGGCAGGTACCAGCCATCAGATAGCAGCACCCTGCGCTCCCTGCCTTCATCCCAGACACAGTGCCTCAGCTTCTCAGGCCTCAGCGGGCTGAGATCTATATCCACATGCAATCCTTCTGAGAAAGTCCAGTTATCAAGATACGGGTGGCAGGAATATAGAAATATATATTTACACACACGTGTATTTGCTTTCCTATATATATAATATAGGAAAGCAAAGAACTCCACTTTTGCTAATCATAAAATAGTTTGGGTTGGAAAGGACTTTTAAAGATCATCTAGTCTAGCCTACCTGCAATGAGCAGGGACATCTTCAACTAAATCAGGTTGCTCATCTAACCTGACCTTGAACATTTCCATGGATGGGGCATCTACCATATCTCTGGGAAACCTGTTCCAGTGTTTCACAAGTCACACTGTAAAACACTTTTGTCCTTATATCTAGTCTGAATGACTGTTTTATCCATATGAAGCTTTGCTGTCAAGTTGCTTGTGGTACAGATTGAATGAAAATGCACTGCATGAATTTTCTGGAGAAAAAAAGGAGAGGAACAGGAGCGCTAGTGAGTACATAAGCCTCCTCCTCCTCCTCTCCCTGGACAGCAATAAGGAGGGTGGCACCAGCTTGATGGTTGATCTCCATGGCTGTGCACTTGTGTGGCTTCCCAGCTTTCCCAGTGGTTGAGAGCTGTCTATCTCTGCAGTGCCCTACCACCTGACCTCATGAGTACAATTAAGTCTTTGGCTTGACTTCTCTTGTCTTGGTTTTAGCAGGGAGACCACATTCTGGCAAATGGACCTACATAATAAGCTTCCATCCCTCTTTTGCCCATGTTGTTCAAGGTGAGGGGAAGGCCAGACCCCAGCCCTCCTGTCCTGCACATGAGGATGGAAGAGCCCAGCTCATGGGAACATTATTGTTCCAGAAAAATAGAACCAGTCAGTGTTGCTGATTGCTCTGTTACATCTACCCAGACAGAGCCTTGGCTATAAAAATAGATGCAATAATCCACATGGACAGTTGCAATTGTAAACGGCACTCAAAAAGCAAAAACGGAATTCATAGTTTGACACAGACATATCCCCAATACATCAGGATGTGACACATTGGCAATGTGTCTGTGCCAAACTATGAATGTCGTTATTTACTTTTCCTCCAAATGCTATTTACAACTGTAACCTTCACTGTAAATTAATGTATCTATTTTATATCGGGTGTTTTCTGAGAGGCTTTGTTTTTGTGTGCACTTATTATATTCACAGGATTGATGTAAGTTAGACCAATTGGGCCACAATAAATCTTCAGGGACTACAGACTGTGCTTATGTTAGGAGGATTTGCCAGCATAACCCTACCAGCAAATCCTATCTGGCAGAGAGAAGGCCTATGTTTGGAAAGAGAAATCAAAGGCCATCAACACTGAATAGCTCTCCACTAGATGGAACAATGGTGCTTCTTCTGCCAGGCCATTGACAGGGAGTGATTTACTCAGAAGAGGATTGGAGGGGTGGGGATGGTGGAGCACAGAAAGTTCTGGATAATGGTGGGACAGTCATAGGACAGCTATTGTTTATTGCTCCTCCTGGTGAACTCAGTGCCTCAGAGGAGAGCCAGGGAGCCAGGAGGTGTCCTGGTGTGTGGAGACACATCAGAGATCATTGACGGGGCATGAATTGGCTCTGATTTAGAAGCGGTGTCACCACATGGCATTCAGGTCACTCTAACAAATCTTGTAGTGAGCTTGTTTGACTAGGAATGGGGTCCCAAGCTAGCATATGTCCAGCTTGGAATTTGAACTGTTTTGCACCTGTCTGCACTGATGCATCCAAAGATGGTGGTTCAGATGTTTTATGGGTGCCTATTCCATGTACAGCTGAATGACCCAGCCTGCAGAGAAAATATTCTTGCTGTGTTGTCTTCACTCCCTGGATTTTAAATTTTGTTAAAAGTAATTGCATTTGCCAGGCAAGAATTATTTTTCATAATCTCATGCTGCTGACTGTTTACACTTATACCAGCTATGTGCAGATCATTTTTATACAAGTTAGGCTTACTGAACAACCGCCAGATAGTTCTGCTTTCCTTCTTGAATTTTAATTGCTTACTTGCCCAGCATCTATTTTTAAAATGGAACTGTAAGTTCCATCACTCAACATAGATGCAGGGGGTCAGTGCCCTCCTTACTCCTCCTTCACTCCCTCCTGCAGGAAATGTGGAGGAATCATTAAGGAAACTTCGCAGTCTGGCCATTCGCGAGACTCACTGGCAGTCACACTTATAGCACCAGAGACTTCAGCTGTTGGGACTGAAGATCCTCCATAGCAGATGGCTCCAGTGAGACAACTGGAGTCCTGCTTGGCCCCCCACACACCCCACTCACACACAGACCAGCCATGTTTCCATACCTGTGTATACCTTAACAGAGTCTTAGATGTCTAGTTCCACAAAGAACTTCATTATCATCACAGTAACATGGCAACACTCAAGACTGTCCCCAGGGGAGCCCCCAGCCCAGAGTCCCTCAGCTTTAATCCCCTCACAGTTTTCCCCATGCACCAGTCCCCTCCTTCCTCCTCATTCTTTTGCTCCTGCACCCTTCTCTGTGCCCATCCATCATGATCGGTCTTCATTTCAATCAGCAGCTTTCAAGTCAAGCCACCTGGACAGAAGCATTCTTCATCAGAATACGGGACCTGAGCTGTCAAGACATTTAACCACAGGCATAACCATTTAAGTTAAGGGGTGCATTTAGATGTTTTGCAGGACTGAAAGTAGAGCTCAGTATTTTGCAGGCCTCAGACCAATATTATCAGGACATACTGATTTTATGTTAGCAATATGATCATCTTATAGACTCACATGCACGAATGCACACGTATATGTAGAGACATAGAAATGGCTGTAGTTGCAGTGCACATGGAGTGGGAGGCTAGAGATTTGTGCAGTCTCAACTGTGTTGTGTGACCAGGACAGAAGGTTCTGGATAGTGCTATGAGATGGCTTACAGACTCTTCATCCACTTAGTAAATACATGCCTGAATGGGGTTTCAAAGCAGAAACTTTGAAATATCAATCTTCTTTCTCCTCAGACTCCTTCTGCTTGATGGAAAACGTGTGTTCATTCAATGGGCTGGTTTGAACACTGAACCTAGGCTCATCCAAACCTTCATTTTCAAGACCACATGCCATCAATTTCTCACATAATCCCATTTCACTTCTTTAAAATAATTACAGACTTTAGTCTTCATCTGTCTTATGGTCAGCATTATTTCAAGCACCTACATATTCAAAACATCCATTTCATCTCTAGTTGTTATAGCTTTTTGAATGTAACTGGCTTCTCATCTGTGTCCTTTTGCTTAATTTTTAATATTTCCCATTATTTTTAGACTATCGGGAAGGGAGGTGATTGTGTGCAGGAAACTAGCAGGGAGCTGGAAGCCAATGTAATTTTCTTTTTGATCTTTTAAATGACACATAGTATTTGAAAAAAGAGACAGACATTCTTAATATTCTTATAAACACAAGCATTTCCTCATGAAGCAACACCGGTTGCTTCTTATTCTTTCCATACTGCTTTTATAAACTCTGAAAGTACAAAATTATTGAAATATATTGGGTCTCCAGATTGCCAGAGCTAGCAATTTCAAACAGTTTCAAATTACCTTCTTTTCTTTGAATAGAGTGTGTAAGAACTATCATATGTTATATCAAGGAAACAAAAAAGGCATGTAAGATGTTTGGATAACATTCTTGTTAAACTGTAAGCTGTCCTCACTCTACATTTAGCTTCCAATTTAATCAACAGATCCTAATAAATTCAAAAGAAGTCAAAAAAACGTCTTCATGACCAGGGATTTTGTTTTGGTTTAGGTTCCTTGGTTTTTTTGTTTGTTTGCTGTCTCTCTTCCTTTTTTTTTAAATTTTCCGAGTTGTGCTTAGCTGGTATTGGGTATCTCTCTAAGCTTAAGAATTGTGTCTATTAAACTCAGCTGACTGTGTTACACAGCAACAAAAATTTCATGATCTGAGCTACTTTTGCTTTT